GAAAGAACTTATCAAGAAAAAATAAATACCTTTCAAGAAGAGACATATGAGGTGCTGCAACTAATTCAAACAATAATGACTTCAAACCACAAAGAAATCCAAAATAACTTTGAAAACATAAACCAATTCATCTCCAACAACAAAAAAGCCCAGGAAATAACAATAGAGAAGAAGCAGATAAAACAGATAACTGAACACAAATTCAAGGATAGAGACTTAAAGATGGAACTTAACACAACAAAAAAGTATGATTTAACCCAAGTAGAAATTTTTTTTACAAGAAATATTGGTTTTGGAAAAGGCAATTATACTTTAAGACCACAAGACAAATTTGAGGATAAGAAAAAAGACTGGTCAAAATGGATTGCAGAGATGTCAGGAACACCACTAGAACTGGAGAGACAAAAAATGATAAGAGATACAGAGAAAAAAAAAAAGAAAAAGATTTTCAACAAACATGAAAGAGCAAATGCCTCTTACTAAGATATTATACAGTGATACCTACAAGAATATGGAAAGACTTTTTGATTCAGCAGAATATACTGATTAAGGATATTGGGCAAAAGAAGAAGGCCAAAGTAAAAATTAAGAAAATAGATGATGGGACTTATCAGAGAGAATATTTAAAAAAGAAACACCTATTTGGATATAGTTAAAGTAATAGAAAGATTTTGGATATGAATTTTACTTTAAAAAGGAGGAGCCGCTCCAATAACATAGTACTCTCTCTTGCTTCCCTTTTCTTCTCTTATTTCTTGATATGAGTAATATAAAAGAGTTAGAATGGCTTATATATAAGGACTTATTTTAGATATTTAAATGTGATTGATTTTAAGAAAATTACAATGGATTGGGAAAAAAATGTTCTGAATAAGAGTTAAAAGACCAGATGACTAGATCAGTGATTCTCAACCTTTCTAATGCCGTGACCCCATAATACAGTTCCCCATGTTGTGGTGACCCCCAAGTGGGTGTGGCCACCAATAAGAGGGAGTAGGACAGCTAGGGAAAAGGGAAAAAAATGGCGGACAGCATGGTTTGGCGACCCCCGTGAAATGGTCATTCGATCCCAAATGGGGTCCCGACCCACAGATTGAGAACCACTGGACTAGATTTATTAAATGGAATATTTAAAGATTAAATATATTCTTAATTATGGTAAAAAAGAATGGAAAATTTTTGAAAATAAATATGTATTAGCTTAGGGCTTAGGGGAAACATGGACTTTCAGTAGTGTACTATCTTTTTATCCCTCTTTAGTCTTGTTCTTTTTTTCTCTTTTTTTAGTCTTATTTATTCCTTAAGTAAGGTAAAAGTTATGGGATGGTTTACATGAGAAAAAATAGAATCAAATATTTCAATGTAAGTAACTTTGAGAAAATCTTAACCAGTAAGAATGTCTTGAATATTGTGGGAAAAACAAATGTAAACAAGAACTGTAGACGGGATCTATGATGAGGCAACCAGAATGACTAGATAGAAAAGAAATATTATATTGATGTGATTATTATTTGCGGAAATATTAGGGAAAAAATTAATATTCTATTGCTATCTATCAAATAATAAGAATTGTATTAACTTAAGGTTGGTAAAAGAGAACATTGTGGGAAGAAGAGGAAATCAAGTAAAGCTATTATGTGGACTATAGATCATAGAAACCAATTCTTAGCTAATGTTTTTTAAATGTAAACCCAGACAACACACTATTTACCGAATATTAAGGCGACTATGTTAAAAAATTAATAAAATATATTATTTAAAAAATGATAAAGGGTATAGAGGCTAAAATCATATGATGAATGGTTGAGAGTTTGGACAGTCATTTGTCCAGAATAATATAGGGTCTCCTGTTTGTACAGAGGTTTGGACTAGAAGACCTCCAAGCACATTTTGAAAGAAATGAAGGAACTCTTCCTTGGTTAGTCAAATAAAGTAAAAGCTATCCCAGTGATGGCAAAACTTTTAGAGACTGAGTGCCCAAAAACTGACCTGCTCCGCCTGCCCGCAGAGCCACTCACTGCCTCCAGGGCCCGCCGCAGATCACCCAGGCAGCCCAACAGTGCCATGGCAGCCACGCCCTCTGCCCACGCCCCGCAGCATCAACTGTGTGTGATGGGACATGAGAGCAGTCTTGTCTATGCTGCCTGGCTGCCACGTCCTTGGCTGCACTGCTGCACGTGGGCCACGTTCGGGGACGACTCTTCTCCAGGAGGGCTGCTGGTGAGGAGGGGGGTCACAGGGGGAGGCAAGGCTGGGGCAACGGCACGTGTGCCCACAGAGAGGGCTCCGAGTGCCGTTTCTGGCACCCGTGCCATAGGTTTGCCACCACTGAGGTATCCATTGCATTGTATTTAGATCTGTTCTTTTAGAGTTTTTTATTTTCTTTTTCAAATTAAAGACAGGAAGGGATTCTGATTGAGGACTGCAATTCCCATTTATAATCCCTCAATACTTTCTCAAAAGACCAGTAATTGTCATTGTAATCTTCTTATCTGGGATGTAACGTTGACAATAGCAATACATGGCCTCTAGAAGGCAAACCATTCCATCACTAACCATAAAAAAAATTCTGATCTTGATTTACTGAAACTTTATTTATTTAATTTATATTCTGCCTCTATTATTTTTATAAATAAGGCAGTGAACCTTGGGGTATTTAAGGAAGGAGATAGGACCAATATACCTATGATTCCTATTCCAGCCCTAAACCCCTCCAAAATTGGGGGGGAGGTGCCAAACTTCAATACTGCCAGTGACATCATTGACTTTCTGCAGTCCACTAGACCATTCAGACACTGGGCAACCTGATTTGTCAAGCATATCCCATCACTGAGTTACTGGTCTAATTATCTCAAGGATTGCTTCTCTTGATATAAAGTCCAAACACCAATCTCCAGAGAAGGATCAGTCTCTATGACCCCTTTTTATGAAGTTGTCAGGAACATGGGGGAAGCTTTACCCTACTTTGTATCCGAACTATAATATGGACTTGCTCAAGAACAGTTTTTGACCTGTATTCTTTCTCTTTTCAGGAAAAGAAACAAGATCTTCCTCTTTAAATTGTTTGAACAAGTTTATAATGATTTAAAATATTTAGAGCCTAAGTATGTACTATATGTATATGCTGGGGTTTTATACTGTTACAGAATATCAACTCAGGGCAGCTCACAAACTCAGTATTTGTAAATAGGAATAAAATATACAAGATCTATAATAAACATTATAAGTAACATAGTGCAAATGAAGCTTAGTTCCCAAAACAAATAAAATTACTTCCATTTAGAATCTTTTTTTAAAAAAAAAAATTATAATTGTTGACAAGACCAAATGGCTTTGTTTGTCCCTCCCCAAACTACATTCCATCTTTATTTATTTATATTTATTTATATCCAACTTTTATTATTTGTACAAATAACTCAAGGCAGCAAACGTATCCAACACACCCTCCTCTTATTTTCCCCACCACAACAACTGTGAATTGGGCTGAAAAAGAGTGACTGGCCTAAAGTCACTCAACTGGCTTTCCTGGCTAAGATGGGACTTGAACTCACAGTCTCTTGTTTCTAGCTTGGCGCCTTTACCATTAGACCAAACTGGCCTTTTAATAATGGATCTTTATCCTTCATAGAATTATACTTCGTCATATGAGATTGACATCCAATCTAGGGGTCCTTCCTGGACTCAAAACTTCTGCTTAACGAGCAGGTAGTAGCTGTGGCCAAGAAGATCTTTGCACAGGTACATTTAGTGTGCCGGTAGCATTCCTTCCGTGACCAGGAAGCCCTTCATTCATCCCTTGGGTCACCTCATAATGAGTCTACTGTCATGTGCTCTACATGTAGCTGCATTTGAAGACAACTCAGAAACTATAGCTGGTCCAGAATCCCATGGAGCATGAAGTAATGGGTGTGTCATAGTCTGTTCATGTATCCCTGCTATTTTGAGAACTGGATGGATTCAGTTCAAGCTGTTGGTTATCACCTATAAAGACCTTCATGGCATAGGGCCCAGCTATCTAAGGGACGATGTGTCTTTATATGTTTCAGCCCATCTAGTGAGATCAACTAGAATGGGCACACTCCATTGATTAAGCAATAAGCAGCACCTTAAATTGCACCTGGGAGCAAACTGGTAACTAGGGCAGCTCTCAGGCATGATAGGTTATTAAGATTAGTGTTAGCTCACTGAATGTATTATGGGCAAAAAGGCAGAATTTAAACTTAAACAACAATAATGACAACATGCCGTGAACAGTCAATGGTTTAGTGAAATTAAAGTACAAAAAGATGTTCTTGTTGATAAGAATTTTTTATATATATTCTGCCAGGACAAACACATCTTTCAGTAATATTAACAGTAGTAGTTCTTTTAAAAATGAGGAAAACCTGCCCTTGGATCATCCCAGATGGCCTCCTTCTGTATAATAGCAACAGCAACAGCACTTATGTGCTACTTCACAGTGCTTTAAAGCCCTCTCTAAGTGGTTTACAGAGTCAGCATATTGCCCCCAACAATCTAGATCCTCATTTTACCGACCTCGGAAGGATGGAAGGCTGAGTCAACCTTGAGCCAGTGAGAATCAAACTGCTGGCAGTTGGTGAGCAGTCGCCAGAATTAGCCTGCATTACTGCATTCTAACCACTGCGCCACCACGGCTCTGTAATAATATAGATCAGTGGTTCTCAATCTGTGGGTCGGGACCCCATTTGGGGTCAACGACCATTTCACGGGGGTCACCAAACCACACTGTCCGCCATTTTTTTCCCTTTTCCCTAGCTGTCCTACTCCCTCTTATTGGTGGCCACACCCACTTGGGAGTCACCACAATATGGGGAACTGTATTATGGGGTCACGGCATTAGAAACGTTGAGAACCACTGATATAGATCCATCCTCATATGCAATATACCCTTACGTCAAATGAAGCAATGTTAAAGGACAGTGAATCAAGAGGTCTCTGCATGCAGCTGGAATATTCAGGAGAACAAACTAAATCAGTACCTTAACTTGAGTTACAGGACTGGTCCCTCTCTTTTCATTTTTCATCCCGGTTGGTGAGAGCGTCCCTGTCGTATTTGGCGGCTGAGGCGTGGAAGGCATCTTGGCGCCAGGCGATATCTGCATGCTGGCCAACTGAGCGGCATAGAGTTGCTGCAAAACAAGAACAGATTTCTCTTTTAGGAGCCCTGGAGCAGAGAATCCTAAATGGCAGGCGCTTCGTGTTTTGTGTTCCTGGACTTGGGGCATCACACATCTAACCAGCTTGATAAAAGGTATGGAAAGGAAGACTTCTGGATTAATGGAGAGTTGTCTGGTTATCCTACCAACAATGCTTTGTTTTGTTTTTAATACCTTGCAGTGTTTCTCTGACTTGAGGAAAAATGACAATTACAGGCAGTAGACCTTGACTTACAACAATTTGTTTCAAAGTTACAATGGAACTGAAAAAAGTGAGTTATGACCATTTTTCACATGTAGGACCACTGCAGCATCTCCATGATCACAAGATCAAAATTCAGACGCTTGGCAACCGACTCATATTTATGACGGTCGCAGTGTCACCTTTTGAGACCTTCTGACAAGCAAAGTCAACAGGGAAGCCGGGTTCACTTAACAGTCATGTTACTAACTTAACAACTGTAGTGATTCACTTCACAACTGTGGCAAGAAAGGTTGTAAAATGGGGCAAAACTCACTTAACACATGTCTCGCTTAGCAACAGAAATTTGGGGCTCAGTTGTGGTTGTAAGTTGTGATCTACCTGTACTGCTGTTTCTGCCAGTAACTATAAGACGTTGCATATACCATCTTTTAGTTGCTAATATAGAAACTCAATGAGGTCCCTGCACATTAAGTTAGTAAAAATAACTACAGAGTTTACATAAGAAGTCTTATGTAAACTGAACTGAACATTGTCAAAAGAAGCACAATTATGTCACATAGTCTTAAAACATTGTGCACTGTGTCTTGAACAAACCAAATAGTTAATTGTCTCTTAACAACCAGCCTTAAAAACCTCACCTTCATGTAGCAATAGCAATAGTGCTCCCATTATAAACAGGGAAAGGTCTATTCCTCTCTCGCAAATAAATCTATGAAAAAGTGGTGGTTTGTATGTAATTTCCAACTTTACTATCATTTAAATGGCCAAATAAAAAAAAAATTATAGTAATCCAAAGCAGACCTTTCAGCATATATAATTAAATGAAAGTTTAATAAAGAATAATTTGTAAAAGCCAGATGTGCTTAAGTCATAGTGATTGGAGATTTTTGGAACATTTTTTTTAAAAAACATTACAAATTTCAGCAGAAATGAAAGTCACAGAACTTGATTATATCAAAATTTGAGTAGTCAAAATCTCACTTGTGAGATAAAATGTATGTATGTATGTATGTATGTGATCAAAGTAAATATTCTGGGTCTTTACATAAAAAATGATGCTCCATTTGTTTCCCCATAATGCTTTAACAGCCAGCCTATGGAAAGGCCAGTTCACTTCACACTGCATGAAATTCACCTAGATCTGGCAGCACTAGTCTGTCCAATCCAGGGGTCCTCAACCTTGGCAACTTTAAGACTTGTGGACTTCAACTCCCAGAATTCCTCAGCCGGCTGAGGAATTCTGGGAGTTGAAGTCCACAAGTCTTAAAGTTGCCAAGGTTGAGGATCCCTGGTCTATTCTATTCTAAATTCCACTACTGTGTCACGCAAACCCTACTCAGAGAGAAAACAAAATTTAAGAATTTGCTATAATTAAAGATTTAAATGAATACTGTGGTTGTTGTTCCTCTGATCCCACTCTTTTTCATGCTCTGTAGTATATATATATATTTGCAGCACATGAACTAGTATGATATTCTTTCTTAGTATCATTCTTTAATTCTTAGACCAGAATATTATTGATGAGCAATTGCAAAGTTCTTAGGTATATTATTGCATACACAAGCAAAATTGGGTTACCATAATAGAAGCACATAATTTGGGGGGAAAATGTGATGTTGTAAGAGAGCATATATTTATATAGCCGGGCCTGTACTTATTTGTTTACTTTAAAAAGTTGTACTTCTCTTTTCCTTATATAGTTTATACTGCTGTGACAAATGCCATGATCCATCTACAGACACTCTGTACTTGGGAACATAAAATTGAAGTTTTCTCAGCTTACAACTTGCATGAACAAAATGAGTTCCCTGCCATGATTCAGATGTCACGTCTTGCCCCAAGAACCAGCCAGAATGTACCTAAACTGAAGGTTCAGTTTTCTCACTTTGTCTTCTTCAAGGCATATCTCAGATCTACTTGTGTCAGCTATGTTATATGAGAGTCCGGAGACATACTTAATATGGATTAAGTAAAGAAAGTGCATGACCAAATGAACTTTTATACTTCAGGCAAATCTATTCAAGAATGTCAACGCAAGGCACTGAGTCATTCTTAGTCCAAGAGCAATATTTTTCAGAATCAATTTATCCTCAAATAAGGCAACATGTCGATCATCTCTCAAGAGACACAAGGCTAAAACAGAATCACACACAGCCATCTATATCATTATTCATTATGAAATTTGCTTCATATGACCTGGTTTTCAGGATCAGGAAATATCTAATTGGTAAAGTAGTCCAGAATTTCAAAACATTTTGTTAGCCTTGTAAAGAGATACTTTTCTGTTGACTAAAAATAACCCTCATATCAGTGTTTTGCATAATGGCTGTATTCTGCTGTGGGGTGAAGAACTGTGATTAAATTAGCCACTGGCACTGAATCTAATTTCAGTGACTAAAATAGTGATTGAGGTTCCCCATGCAATTGGCATTTGATACTTCAACAGAACTATTTTCCATTGCAATGTTAACTTCATAGCTCTTTTACTACTACAAAGTCATTAATTTTAACGGGTTAGTCATCTCTGAATGTCAGGAGTCGTAACTATTGTTTCAGAGTAATTACCAGTATAAATTTTTAACAGTTGTAAATTCTTCTACTGTATTTTTATTGGTTCATAAAATAATAGTTCCATGGTTGGTGCAATAATATTTTCAAAACTTCAAATAAATAAACCCTGATTTTGCTTTACACATGAGGCAAAATCTGAAACAATAAGCCATGTAGACACTGAAGGATCTCTGCATACTAATGCAAAGGATTATCTATTACACTGAATAAATGTGTATGAATCTATATGTGTCTCTGTGTGTGAATATATGTGTATGCAGGGCTTTTTTTTCTCATAAAACGCCCGGAACGGAGTCCCAGCACCTTTTTTGGATGGAACCTTGTAGGGTAGGCAAGGCAGGTTGTATGATGTGTGAGTTCCAGCACCTTTTTTTTTTTTTTAGAAAAAAAGCACTGTTTGTATGTCAAATGTTTTAATCAGGAGTATGTCACTTTATAAAGAAGAAATAAACTTGCAGATGCAATTTAATTAAGTACTGAAATTAAGTGTAGGTATTATACTTATTGTTTGATTTTATGCCATCCAACTCCAAGCAAATCTGGGCAAGTTCCTGTGTACTAAACAAGTTAAAATGGTATAATAAGAGCTAATAGACAACAGCAACAAGACTAACTTAAAAAATTAAAAAAGGAACAAGATGGTGAGCCTGGCAGACGACCTATAACATCCCATAAAGGGATTCCAAGCAGGTCTTTATGGCCCTCTGAAACATCAGCAGTATGTTGATCTTAGAAGGTATCTTGTTCCAGGGGGCAGGCATCACAATAAAGAAAACACACTCTTTAGGTCCTGATAGATGACATCGTTTAATTGAAGGAACCCAAGAGTGTGTTAACTGGGCAGATACCATGGGAGATAAATAATAATACTGTAGATCATAACCAGCATTTGAATCGAGCATTTTAAAATTCAGAAAAAAACTAAAACAATAAGGAAGCTAAATGTTATAGGATTCAGTAAAGATCACTGTTATTTGCCATAGATGAAACAATGGACCATGGAAAGCTACTGCAGGGAATTAAGTTGTCTGAGCAAGTTGTGAATTCTTGGAATTTTGCTTTCTAGTTTTACAATTATATGTAGGGTTTAGTTCATTTTAATTTGCTTTCAGTGGCATCCATATGGGGGGATCAGACCACTGAAGGTACTCTAGCAATGGAAAGCCTCTCTCTTTTCAATATGCATCATTACATTGTGCACGTCCCAAAGGGGCTGAGCATGCAGTATGATGCTAAAATGCTATTTTTGTCATTCTGACAAAAGCAAGAAGATGCCACTTACTTTCATTAATTATGAGTACACCGAGCTAAGGTAAACCAAAGTGATTTCGAAAACACTTTGTCATGAAAGTAGCTATTTCAACCTCCCAAAATGCTTGAGGTTCCAGGGGGCTGGATTAAATTTTTCGTAGTGACCCTGAGCACCTCTTTCAATCCCAGCCTAAGAAATTTAGCATGGCATGAGCTTAAAAAAAAAAAAACTTCTATGGATCCTTAACTATGCACAACCCCAGGAGCATTCAATTCCATAAAATTTAAAGAGGTGACATGAGGGATAAACTGTGTCCCCATAAATGGAGGCAATTTTAAAAGAAGCTAAAAACTCATCAGCAACTTAACTGTGGGACAATTCAGAGGCAACTCCAGAACTGCTCTGTTGCTGCACAAGGGCATGCCAAGGGAGCCAGATGCTCTGGTTAGAAAAATAGCTCTCTGCACTTACAACTGCATACATCGTTTGAAGATAGCAGAAGTTTAAAAGTTATTAACTCGATTAAATTACATACTTTAAAAATTGTTCCAATATAAAGGAAAACCTGAAATCATGGGTTTTGGGCATCTTTTCCATGCACATTTTATGCATTTAACAATCTCATTTGAACATATGTTACCTGTTATGAATGTATATATAGTAAATATCAATGTTTCTATATCCAAAATAATATTGCAACAAAACCACAATTTTTATATAACATGTCAGTAAGATCATGTTAGCTAAATATAAATATTATGTTAATAAACTGAAATGTTATTAGAGCTTTTAAAGAGTCCTAATGTTATGGGTCAACTCCACATACACTTATTAACACATGTTCAATTCAATTAGCTTTAGAAATCCAATCTGCAGGTCATTTAGTGAGCTGTGGTAGTGCAGTGGTTAGAATGCACTATTGCAGGCTAACTCTGTCCACAGCCT